TATCTATCTATCTATCTATCTATCTATCTATCTATCTATCTATCTATTGTCAAATATTGATAACACCATCATTGAATTTGCCATGGGCCATCTTCTGGACCAATCTCTCCTACAAATCTTATACTGTCCCCACTCAGCTACCTAATTAGGGGTTATTTTCATGTCATTATAAGAATGTTCACATTCAACCCATAAATTCTTTTAATTTCTGTGATATTTTCAACACAGTTCTTTGAATATCCTTATTCCTCAAACTATAAATTATGGGATTAAGTACAGGTGGCAAAATTGTATATAAAACTCCAGAAATTAAGTCCACCTTGGGGGAGGAAAGTGACTTTGGTCTCAAGAATGAGAAAACAGCTGTGATAATAAACAAGGCAAAAACAGTGAGATGGGGAATGCAAGTTGAAAAAGCTTTGTGTCTTCCTTGAATTGATGGAATTTTCAACACAGAAGAGAAAATATAACAATAAGATGTCAAGATGAATGCAAAGCAAAATGAATTCACACTGAGCCCAATCAGGAAAATTAGAATTTGGTGACCTTTTGAATCAGTACAAGCTATCTTTTGTAACTGAGGCATGTTACAGAAAAACTGCCCAATCTTTTTGAATCCACAAAAGTTCCACCTGAAAGTCAAACTGGTTTCTAACACTGCATGAATCAGAGTGGATATCCATGCACTAGCTGCCATTTGGATGCAGGCATTACAGTTCATAATCAATCTGTACTCCAAAGGATGGCAGATGGCAACATATCGGTCATAAGCCATGATAGTAAGTAAGAAAATCTCTGCCCCAACAAATGTAATAACTAAAAAGACCTGTGCAACACATCCCGCATAAGGAATCATTCTGTTGTTTGTAACTGAAACAGCTATTGCTTTGGGAAGTGTAGTAGATATGTAGCAGATATCTACAAATGATAGATTGACCAAAAAGAAGTACATGGGTGTATGAAGATGTTGATTGAGGACCACAGCTGAGATGATGAGAAAATTCCCCACTATTGCTGTTAAATATACAAAGAGAAACATCAAAAAATAGAAAAGTTGCATATCATGGTCATCTGAAAACCCCATTAGGAGGAAATCTGTCATTATGGATTTGTTGTCCATTATACTTATTTCAGTATATCTGTAAAGAATGGGTTAAAATAGTTATTGCAGCATAACATTTAAGAACAATGTTACTAATAAATTAATAGTTTGCAGTAATATCTTCATGGAAATATTAATCATACATATTATTTTGTAACAATTTGTTACTCAATCTACACAAGTAAAGTTTGTAATATGTTTACATTTAATTATTTCCCTTTTTTAGGTGTTCTTCCACAGGTACATCAAATCCAAACATCATCTTTAGCATCCTACACCACTGGGTTATCTCTCTCCCTTTTTGAAAAAAACCCTTTTCTTATGAAATGATTTTCAAATAATCAGTTCATATGATGAACTAAAAAGCTTTGACTGTTTTTTTTTAAATTTGAGTGGTTTATGGGTCCCTTTGTTCATCTGTACTGCATCCATCTTCTCATTTCTCCATTCAACAATGCAAGAAAACCTTACTAGAAATACATGTTCTGTGTTCTTACGTGTATGTTTAGGTGTGTGTATGTGTGTAAAATTTAACAAGTTCTAAGTTGTGCATTCTTTCACACGTGCATTTTCTATACTTCTGAGTTTTTCCACATATCTAAATTTCTTTCTTTTTCTACCTAAATCCTTTCATTAAATGAAAAAGTAACTTACCAACAATCATTTTCAGACTTGTAAAAGGATTTGACATATATTCTCTGTTTTCAAATCGCTACATTAGATATTACTACTCTTCAGTCATACGATTTCCTCCATTCTTGTTAGAAAAATTTAAAACTTTAAATCTGTCCCAGTTAACATGTATAAAATTGCTCACCTCTGCTTGCAGTCAACACTTCTAGAAGATGAGATGTTTATGTGCCTGGGTTTGTTTGTATATATTTTATATTTCAAAAACCAGCAGGAATCAGGTCTATTCCCTAAAGTGTTTGAGTTGCATCATAAAATTGCACTTTGAAGATGGCTTTGAAGTTTGAAGTTTTCTAAATTAAACACTAAGCAGTTCTTAATCTGAGAATCCTTCAGTGAACCCTCTCTCTCTCTTTTTCTTTCTCTCTCTTTTTTGTATTTCTAAGAAAAAGGAATCTGATGTCCATCTTTTGAAAAGCATTCTTTAGTGGATTAGAAAAATGTAATAAATTAATAATACATTTTGGGTGGATCAATTTTAATTTCAGATCCATTGAAACCAGCTCAACATTCTTTAGGACTTGTTTCATATTTCTTAACTGCCCATCTACCACAGGTGAACAGAGGTTTTATTTTATATTATTTTAAATTGTTTGGTTTTTATGAATAAGTCTGAATCCAGAGGAGGAAAAAGTTGAGGATTAGGATAGAGATGAATCGTGTTTTTCAGCTAAGAAGTGCTATTAGCAGGCTTGGATTTACTAGAAATAGAAGTGAGAAGAAATAAATTCAAGCAGAGGAAATAGCGCAAGTTGTGTAATAGTAGCAATTGGTTTCTTTAAAGCTTCTGGATAGAAGTACACTGATGTCAGTTTTGATTAACCCCAAAGGTGTAAATGTAGGATGATTAATAAAAATATATGTTATAGTTGTTCCAATGGAAGAAGATTCCCAAATTATTATCTAGGGTTTTTTTTCTTCTAATTCGTGTTGCTATTGTTATTAATGGAATTGTCTCTATTTCTGAATATTATAATTTTTGAATTATTGAACATGGAGGAAAGAAAAATTTCTTCACAAACAACCATAGTGTAGACATTTACAATAGCGTGAGATACATTTATTTATTTATTTATTTATTTATTCAAGCAATTATAAGATTACAGGTATAAGTATAGACATAGTTATGAGTACATGAAATGGACAAATATAAGAAAAATAAAAAGAAACAATAGGACAGGGACAGTAGGCATGTTGGTGCACTTATGCACACCCCCTACAGACCTCTTAGGAAAGGGGTGAGGTCAATAGTAGACGGTCTAAGATTAAAGTTTTTGGGGTTTGGTGAAGAAACCACAGAATCAGGTAGAGTATTCCAGACATTGACCATTCTGTTGCTGGAGTCGTATTTCCTGCAATCAAGTTTGGTGCGGTTAACCTTGAGTTTGTATCTATTGTGTGCTCTTGTGTTGTTATGGTTGAAGCTGAAGTATTCATTGACAGGTAGGACATTACAATGTATGATTTTATATACTATACTTAGATCGGAGGCATAGTAATGGAGTCAGGGAGAGATGCGTTGAGTCATGTTTCACAGACAAATATAATGTCGAATTTAGCCGTATTTAGTAAGAGGAGAAATTCAGGTATTTTATTTACAAGGTTTCTTGCATTGAGTAGCTTTCATTTAAGGCCAGTTGTGGTTGGAATAGAGGTAGTTTGGGGCATGCATGCTTAGTTTTGAGTGATGTTGGATTGGATGGGGTGGGGTTGGATGCAGAGTTGTGGGTTGTGTGACTTTCGTTTGATGCCATCAGCACGGTAGTCAATGTACAGGTCCTTTTCTCCATTGTCTCGTCGGTTTTTGAGTTCTGCGCGGAATTCACGGGAGTGGATTCTTTGCAGTATGGATAAGTCTGGTCTTGAGCAAAGTTTTTTATAGGTGGGATTGGATTTTGCAATGGCTTTTATTGTAGGAATGAATATATGTTTAATGGACTCATTTTTGCAAACAGCTCTACAAAATCTTGGGGCCACAGAGCCATCATTGTATTTGTACCCAAGGCCATCTCTGGTTATTTTAATGATATCTTCAGGAGAGATGTTTGTTGTATTTGAGTTGCTTATGATATCATGAACTTTGGTGATGTCATCTGAGTTGTGGGTTGTGTGACTTACATAAATTTACTTATATAAATTAAGGCTTTTTAATTGGGTAATTTTCAACATTTGGAAGCTAAACATCAATATCATGGGACCGGTGTGATGTAATGCTCAGTAACTGCATAAAGGAAAAACCTTGGGAGACTGGACAAAGAGACACAGCCAACGGAATGGTTAAATAAGAGATATCAGGGTCTACTATCTGCAGTTTGGAGAGTGGGTGGGGCAAGATGCTCAGAAGGGCCCCTCCCTAGTTTCTTGGGCTATGAAGGAGAAGCAGGGGGATTGTACTTTTATAGTGAGATAGGTGGCAGATTTAATGAATAAATAGATAAAATAAAGTAGAAGTAGCACATCTAGTTTTGTTTCTTCTCTGGTTTACCCCACAAAACTTTATTAAGGGGCTTATGTTTTCCTGAACTAAAATAAATGGCTTTGCAAAATATGTTACCTTTCCTAAACTGATTGGATTTCTAGAAAATAGAAAATTATCATGATGAGCAGATTTTATGTCTTCCAATATTTGCTTCCTCCACCAGAGATTTCCTGAAGTCTGTATTAGAACCAACCAACATGGACAAATTCTCAACAGCTGCTTGGCTGGCCCACAGCATGCAGTGCAACATTTTCTACAGTCTGCTCAGAACCATTTATTCTGGAAGTTGCCTTTCAGCAAAAGAATGTTCATCTCAGCCTTTTTCTCTATTGTTCTCCATTAAGAACCTACTCTTAAGCTTTTACCAAGTTGTACAATCTGAGAAGGGCTCTAAAATAGACCAAAGCAGGATAATGTGTTTATTTAACTTTAGTTTTAGAACGGAGGGAATTAGTTTGAGATATTTGTTTCTGACACTTTTGTAAAGTGAATATATCCTTCAAAGCTGAAGCATGGTATTTACCAAGTGACAGATATGTGTACCCTCCAGAAATTTCTAAACCACAGACTCTTATCATTGACCATTATATGGCTGGTGAGAGCTGCTTAATGAAGGTTTGTGGTATAAGCTAGAGTAAAAACAAAACCAGACTTTGATTGAAAATGATTATTTGCACAAACATGTTATGTATGTGAAACCTGTTAAGGGCAGCTAAGCATCAATATGGTAATATTTAAAATGGTCTGCTCACTAGGTAAAAAGGTACAGGAAGATCTGCCAGAAGGCTGATTAACATACTGGTATGAATCAAGACATGAGTAAATTGGAATGCTAATAAAAACACTCTAATGTACTCATATCTTGATTTTTTCTTCATACTATTTCAGGGGTGTCAAACTCGAGGGCTGCATCAGGGTTGTGTTTGATCTTGGAGGGCTAAGGTGGGCGTGGCCAAGGTGGGTGTTGTCAGCATGACATGACTTGTGTTGGGGGCGCACCTGTGGCAGCCTGAGCGCTCTGCCAATGAAAACAGAGCTCAGGAGGGCTGTACGTGGCCCTTGCAAGCTCTGTTTTCACTGGCTGAGGCATAGCAAGCCAGTCCTTTGCTGTTTCCAGGGCATCCCCGGGGGCCAGATCTAAGCACCCTGCAGGCCAGATCTGACCCCTGGACCTTGAGTTTGATACCCCTTTTATCCTCCACTTCAAACATCGGGATATTTTTCACAATAGCTCAAATGGCTGTTTGCTAGGGTCCCAGTGATTATGTTGACCACTGATAACATGGTCCCATGTCTATGATCATTGGACACCATTCCTTCCTTTATGAATCCATCATGATAGTGTTTTATAGGTGACCCTATATACATTAATTTTATTTTATTTATTATTGTTTTTCTTTTAATCTGACAGACTATTAGTGAAATTCCATTTTTACAGGATTGGCAAATCAGAATAAGAAATGAGAAATTGGATCTAGGATTTTAAAAATATTATTAATTGATGACATGAAGAAACAGTCATTCTCTCTGAATTGCACAGATAAACATCTGATCAAAATTATCTCAATACATACTTGAATTCAAACTTTATCAAAAGAAGATACATTGACAGAGAGAGGCAGAGACAGAAACATAGAGAGAAAGCAAAAGATTTAAATAAAAACATATTAATTAGATTACTATTTTTGGATTTCTAAATTTAACATGAAGCTTTAATTATTTATTATGAATCACAGATATTGTTCTGTTTCACAGAAAAGGAATATGTAGTGGATAGTTGTTAGACCAGAACTGGGGAGTTCCAACTGTAGTGCCTTCCATTTGGAAAGTTCATCCAATCAACCATTCTCTCTTA